AGTGTATTTGAAGTTCAAACTTTCTTATTACTCTGATGTTATTCCTACCTGACAAGAAGCTTCTGGGGGAATATTTCTTCTGGCAGGCCAAATTCTTCAATTCCAGTATGCAAGGTAGATTGGCTTTAATTGAAAGTCTTCCTGCCTTACACACCACCCCAGTTCAGAATAGTTTGTGGTGTTTATACCGTTTTATGGGGAGGTGCAGGTGCCAATTCATTCAAGCAGCAATTGTGCCATCACAGTTCTGTAGAAGTTTTACTGCAAAAATTTTTAAAAGCAGCAATCCAAAGTTCTCTTAGCGAGGACAGAGAGAGAGATCTCGTGGGTCTTGCTAAAAGATCCCAGACATTGTGTAGGGGCTTAGCTGCTTAGATTTGAAAATAGAGCTGCTTCTGCACAAGGACTTTAGCTCTTGGGGAAACCTCATGTCTTTTATTGAAATATGAATGAAGATTAATCCTCTCCAGGGCTTGGCAAAATAAATGAATGGAGGTTTTGAGACCTGCAGTTAACTCCCACATTATGTACCTAATTTTGTCTTTGAATCTGTACCTTAGTCATTCTGTGCCGTATGCAATCACTTGCATTTTCCGCTGTGTGTGTCTGTGTATAAATTCATGCTTTAGGGCGTAAAGCAATGTTGAGCTTTTCTATGGATAAGAATTTTTCCTGATGTTTTCGACTGCTTGATCTGACAGGATCATTAGGTGGAAGACTACAATGATTCACTGGAATGATTGCGGTACTCCTCTTCTTTGGGAAGTATTTTCATAGGATACTGTCATAATTTGCAGGGCTATACTCTGGAGAACTTCACAAAACTCACATTCATTTTACTCGCATTATTACACTAAAAGTACTTAGTACTCCAGTTCCACAGTTCTTTTACCTATGGAAAAAAAAAAAAAAAAACACTGATCTCTACCTGCAAAATAACCTTAAAATACCATTTTATTTCTTTAAATGCTCTACTTAAGAGGAGCAATATTCAAAGGGTCTGGACATATCCAGAATATGTTCTAACAATTTGCCATTCCCGAGGAAAGTGAAAGTGAATGCAAAAGTAGCATGGGCTGAAGGTTGTGCTGAAACAGTGCTTAAAAATCCCTGACAAACGCGTGTATCCCAGTTTCCGGTTCCTGGGTACATCCCATTCCTTCTGTGCGTATTTCCTGCCATCTCCTGTGTTTTACTGAGCCTCCTACATTTCTCTTATTGTCTCATGTTGCTGGCATGGACCTTTGCATTCACAATGGTGAGATGGCAGCAGGAGGTGCCACTGCCAAGTGGGACAAGGCCAGGTTGAGGAGAAGGACATAGTCCCGGCCTCCAGCCAGGGACTCCAGTGCTCACCCTGCAGCTGAGCTGACGTCCTCACCAGTGTCAGCAGGAGAATTGGGTGCCAGGTTTCACAACTGGAGGTGTTTGAGTGCCAGAGATTAGCCTTGTAGCAAGGATGAGAACAGGGAAACCTAGTTAGTGAAAAATTGGGGGGTTATCCAAGGCACATGTAGAAAATTCCTGGGAGAGCCCAGCCGCTTGAATGCACAGATACATCCCCTGATTGTTATTATCCCCTGATACCTTTGTTGTCACTAATGTGTGCTGGAATTTGGAGGGAACCATTCAAAGTGATTAAAGGTTACATTTTAGAGCTATGGGGGAGCATGTTCTTCTGTAGACCACATAAGGTAGGAAAACCGAATATTCATAATTTCAGAAGAGACTCCTGCTAAGATCAGAATGCTTATGTATGAGGAGAGATTTTCAGGCATTGCAGCGTATCTGTGCAGTTGCACTTAAGCCCAGCTAAAGGGCCGGACCTGTTCACCCACCAGTGAGATCAGAGATGCTGCTAGTTTGGTCCTGGTCAGACTAGCGCTGTCTCAGAGGTGAGGCAGGGACTCCACTTTGGACTTCCTGAGCTGAAAAGGTCTTAAATCACAACTGTAATTTCACTTTCATGTCATTTATTCTCTTTTAATACCCCTTTTTATTTATTTTTTTTACAATCAGGTAAAATATATAAACTTAATCTTGTTAGGGAGGTGCATGAGAATTTACTGAATGAGCCTTAATGGCTCCTTTATGCAGCCATAAACCACAGGGAAGAGATATTAGCAGTTTTAGCTGGACTAGGAATGTCAAATATTATATAAATTTGTTTGATATTTTCAGAGGTTTATTGCTGTAAGTATTTAGCTTCCCCATTGTTTAACTAGGCTGTGTGTTTCTCAGACAACTATGGTAAAAATCTGTTGTGCAAAGAATTAAGGAGAATTGAAAAGCAGGGAAGAACGAGCCAAATTTGTTTTTGGATATATAATAGAAATCCAGAGTAACGCTCCCAGTATTGGCATAATTACACTGCAGTGTAACAATTTTGAACAGTTGAAGGAAAGATACAGCTATGAAGGAGTTAGTTAGTTACATTTTTCCCTTCCCTTCCCTTCCCTTCCCTTCCCTTCCCTTCCCTTCCCTTCTTCCTTCCATATAGACCAGTGTCTGCCCCTATACTAAGGAAGGTTCTCCATCTCACCTTTAACATATTAGCTAGCTAATACCTTCTTGCTCTGTTACAGATAAGCAGTCATACAGTATTTAACATATGATTATGGAGTCAGATACCACGTTACTGTAAATCTGAATAGCTCCAGTGAAATCTGCATAAACTTATTTTAGCTTATATTTTCAGCCCATCTACCCTGCAAATTTTGAAAGGGTCTGTGTCTACTGGCCTCTAAAACCTGCAATAAAGAATTGTAGACACAAAGACATTTTTAAAATCATGATAAACCCATGAGGCTTTACCGATAAGGTAAATCATAGTGCCACTGAGACAGTGGCAAGAATCAGTTTGGCCAGATGTAACCCTAAGTGAGAAATTTTTGAATTCTTTGCATAATGATCAAATCTGTAGTTATTTTTAAAACATGTAGAGTCAAAGTAAAAAACATGGAGTGCTAAAGAGTTTAAGAAAGGGTTGATTTCAATTTCATTCATTTTTAATGTTATGTGAATTTATGGTAGTTGCTCATTTTTACTCTCCAAGGTACTGAGTTCATAACACCCTTCCATAAAGTTTTCCCATGTTTCTTTCATTAAAAAGCAAAGAATAACAGTACTAAGAACAATATATAAACACACAGTATAATTTTGATGATTTATTTCACATATTTGTCCAATGCTCTACCACAGTGCCATGGGAAGGCAGACTCTGCACATAGTTGCGTTTATGCATGTGTAGGAGGAAGAATACATATCCACCAGATTTTGTGTGTTTTTTTGTGAAGAAAGGTCAGAGTGGAAATAATGGAGAGAGATGCCATGTAACATCCATCTCTATTTCTTACAATTTCCTGCTGGATTGCCTTAACTATCTCTGTTTTCTCTTCCGTCTTGGTGGGAAGGATAGCAGTCAGCAGTAAGCCAAGGGCAGGGGATAATGATGCTCTTGGGGCTGTTCTTCTTAATACATTGCCAATCTCTGCTGTCTAAATAAACCTTCAAATTGAAAGGGGAATGCCATTTCAGCAGAGTGACACAGGGGAGCATCATTTTATGTGCATTGACTGCTCTTTGCTTTACCCACTGGCACCTCCTTCCTGGCAGGGCTGTTACTTCATGCTGGAGTTCACTGCTTTAGTAATCAAGTTGCAGATGGCGGGGGTACTAGTCAGGGACATTTCTGGGAAGACAGTGGCTCAAAAGGTGTTTTTCCAGGGGACCTGACCCGCTTTGATAGCAAGAAATAGGGCTGCTTGCTGCAAGACCTACCAAAAGGATGCCTTGGCTCTGGACTAATAAATTCTTCCATTGCAAGCGATGGACCAGCCGCACTTCCCTCTTCCACTACTGTAATTGTGTTTTCTCTTGCCATTTGCCATTTTCATTTATGGAAAAGAGGCAAAATTGTTTTTAATAATAATGTTTTATAGAAAATATTTTATTTTTAATTTATTTTTATACATTGTAAACATTGCGCAATAGCAGAAGTCCATAGAATAGTTTCCTTGGCTTTTAATATAAACTTTATGGGAAATGGCTATTTTACACCGATGTACTTATTTTTTTCCAATTTGCTAACAATTTTTTGCAACATTGTGTTGGTATACTGACACTTCACAAGAATCATCATATTGACTTTCATTGTTCAACCTGATTAAATTAAAAATATTAAATGAACAGAAAAAGTGGGCTCTAATTGTCAGTTTAGGCTTGTTTCCTTTTTAACAAAACTAGACATTAACAATGGTATTTTTGTTAACAAACTATAGATAATATTTTAACTAGGGACTGGTAGTGTTGCTGTTCTATTTTTAATTGCTGAGAACTTAAATTATTAAGGGTGAATAATTTATTTAGGTAAAAAATACAATGTCTAAGTCTTGCAAAGCTTCTATTCTTGGTGATGTGAATAGTTGCCTTAGACTTGAGAGTGTGTGTAAACATCTTTGTAAAATTGTCCCCTAAGCATATACAGTAGAGGTGAGACACCACACATATTATTGTTAGAAATATATCAATGATTTATTTTTCATCAACTAGTTCCATCTGGCCCATCGTTTTTTCTAATTGTTCCTTAATTGAATACAATCAAGCAGTTTCTCCATTTCTCTTCATTATTTCACTCTGACACTTTTCTGTAAATGGGTTTTGTCTTACAAACAGAGCAATAAAGTTAATTATAGACGTGAAGAGAGTCTGAAGGAAAAAAAACACAGAAAGATTATTTGGGGGATATTTTCCTCAAGGGTGGATACTTCATTAAATGTCAACCAAAGATATTTAAATTGGATCCTCAATCAAGGTGTTTATTAAACGTCTAGTAATAAACAAGCTCATAAACAGCATGAAATGATCACACCTTTAAAATGTGCTCCTTCTGCCATGCATCCCTAGTGCAGAAAAGCTCCCATTACTCATGATCACTGCTTGAATTAACTTTGTGGATAACATTATTTTGTTTTTGTTTTTATTCCTCCATTTCTTCACAGAGAGAATGTGCTAATTTCATCAAGGTGCTTAAGGCTTATAACCAAACACACTTGTATGCCTGTGGAACGGGGGCTTTCCATCCCGTGTGCGCCTACATTGAAGTTGGAAGCCATCCTGAGGTAAAATATCTTAAAACCTGTATTTTGCTTTTTTGTCCTTGTGATCAATCTTGATATGTAGCCAAGATTTCTGTGCACCCAAATTGCCCCGAGTTCTGTGGCTTGGGTGTGCATCATGTAGGACGTGCTCCTGAGTCTGCTGCTGCTGGGCTGCCTGACTAATCATACAGCATCCATATGTTGCCCTCTTAATACAAATAAGCCCACCCTGGCTTATGAAGTTTAGTGCACCCAAAAATCAATGTCACTAGCCGAAAGCTCTGGGATTGTGCTGATTTTCCTGGCTGAAGTTTTCATGAGTATGGCTCTGCACTCTTATCACTTAAGCATTTTAATCCTTAATCATTCCACAAAAGCCATTTTTTCTAGTTTCATATTAAAATGGGTGCACAATACAATGCTTTCAGTCTGGCTTACCTGAACGTTGTTCCATGGACTGTTTCAATTTATCAACTAGATTTTGAATGTGTTTGCAGCAGTCACATTTAATTTATGGATATGTTTTATTGATGAATCCAAAACTGTGTTGCTTGAGGCTTCTCAGGAGCAGCTATTTCAAGTTACTTAATGGTTTTGCAGGTCAAGTTTTCAGATTTCCGTGGAAATGAGGACATGTAAATGAATGAAAGCTCGCTCAGTCATTTAAAAATCAGATTTACTTCTTGTAGATTAATGAACCTTTTGAGTGTTAACTCTATAGTTATAGTCTGGAAATCATTTTTCTCCATAAAAAAGTCTTCTGTTATTTGAAACGTGAGTCTTCATATTGTTCTAAGTATGAGGTTTTGAAGGGATAAAGAAGCTGCAGAATATAAGGGTTTTTTTCTTTTTTTTTCTTTTTTTTTCTTTTTTATTCTTTAATGCTTTATTCTAGAATGCATTCTTGGCAATTAGCAATTGTCTCTTGACCACACACAGTATGTCATTGCTTACTGCATTAAACAGATTCTCTGCTTCCTGAGATCCATTTGGGAATTGGTAGGCATATTAATTAACTCTCATTCTCTAAGATGTGTGTCAATCAATTCTTGGCTATCTGCCAAGTGAATCTATCTGCAGAGAGATAGCTGGTATGAGGTCATTTACTTTTCCATTTGGCTGTTTTATGAGTGTACCGTAAAACTAACACACACTTTATCAAGGATTTATAGCAAGGATGTCCAGAGAATAGAGGCCAGATCCAATCTTGGTTTAACATTTGGGATTTTGAAAAACTTTGGTCAATGCTGTCTTTGTCCTTGGCACTGAGAAAGAATATTTGAGTAATCTTCCTTTTAGCAGTCCGTAGCTATCAAGAGAATCTAAGTCCTTGTTCTCTTAATCTTTGCGCAGTGAGTTTGTTGGTGCCCATGTGCCCAAATCTTTCTCATGACCTTTGGCTTCAGCTTCACAAACCAGGGCAGTGAGAAGTGTTTTTACCTCAACTGTCTCAGGCCTTGTTACACTTTGATCTCCTTTTCATGCTTAAGTCAGGAGTGAAACCAGGCTCCCCTGCCCTTTCAGTGGCACCAGTCTCTGTATCTTCTGCACCATCTCAGATGGTCACTCCATCTTCTCAGTCCAGCCCGTGTGGAGAGAAGATGGGGCAGGCAGGAGGCAGCTCCACCTTCTGCCGCTCAGGTTCCAAAAGCGTGTGGCAAACCAGGGTGTCATCCCTGTAACAGGGACAGTCAAAGGAGCTGACCAGGTTTGGAAGGAAGAATAATCTTAACTGTCTCTTCCAAAGCTGGAGCCTGCTCCTTCTTTTCCTGCATGCAAAATGGCCAGGAATTTTCACATGCCTGGAAGAGGAGGGAGCTTGATTGACAGTACCCATTACAGTTATGAAGTATGGAGGATACAATATTAATCCCTGCCTCCCTGCATGCTGCATCTGCAAGAGCCGGATGGTTTGTGTCACCATGTCACACAGCAGCACTGAACATGCCAGTGAGCTGGGGGCTGCCTCTCTGGCATCCCTGTTTTACACCTCCCAAGCATACTAAAAGAGGGAAATGAAGGTGAGCGGTTGATTTTGAAATAAAAAATTGTCCTATAGGATATTTCCTGAAGATTCACTTTCTACTTTCCACAACACTTTCAGAAAATAAACTGACTTCTCCATTATTTCTTCTTATTTTTTATTTATTATTATTTCTTCTCAAACACTTAGAAGAGGTAAACATGAAATGATGAGAGAAATAGCTGGGTACCCACAGTCTGATAAGACTGCTTGTCTATCTGATCTCTAAATGCAGCATCCCCAGCCTGAGCACAGTGGAGAAGAAGAAATGAGCATGGCTGTAGCTGACAGGGCTGGAAAAGTGAAATTAAATAATAAAAGAAGAGTGGGAAGGGATAGAAAGAGACACTGAAAGCAATTGGAATGGATTGTAAGAGGCTGGAATATTTTTATGATTGGGGGGAGAGGAAATAAATTACTTTATGTGACAGCCATAAAGTAATGGAAATATGAATTGCTAAATCTATTGCATATCTTTTCTATATGAAGCAGCATATTACAGCCCTGTTCCATATTGGAAGAAAACTGTTTCTAGTGATGAAACTAGGCAGATCTAATTGAGTTTGATGAAGTACAGTAAAAGAAATAATAATAAAAAGGTAAAAGAATATGAACAGCATGCTGTGCATCTGATTAAAAATGATCTGTGCAAATGTATATAACCTAATATGTTGTGAATTACACCACATTCTAAGGAGTAAAGCAGACTAATCTTTCTTTAAATCCATTCCAGATGTGGAAGTGAATAGCCACAGTATTTAGAGGGAAGAATAAAGTTAATGTTTGAATAGACTTTCTTATAGCACATAGGCTTGAGATCATATTTAGAGAAGACAAAGAACATGTATAGGCAGAAAATATTTGAGAGGAACCTAACTTGGACGATTTGAATCACCCACTGGAAAATCTCTATTTCTGACTGATAGAGCAAAAAGACATTCTTACTCAAATGTCTATGCTGTGTCTTTACTATGTCTCTGAAGTTGAGTGACCTAACACAGACACCTACACCTATTTTGGGTCCCTGCAGTTGAGCAACTCATGACAGTGACTCCTCATGAAGCAACAGAATACGGGAAAACAATTACTAGATAGCACAGGAACATAACGAGCCTCGCTATGCTCTGCTCGCACTGATTGTGGATGAAACAGTATTGAATGTGTGGGAATGGTGAACTCATGGTTGCAAAATTGCCTAAGTCAGATCTGGGCTTAAAAGGAACAAATCCAGGCATGGGGAGGCACAGAGGCACATTAAAACTACCTGAAAAGCGCGGCAGGATGCAGAATGCACCTGCCCAGGGGCCGCTTCCCCAGCCCTCCCTGTGGGGTAGTTTGCATGCTCAGGAAGGAACAGGGTTTTCCATTTGCTTGACCCTTGCACACAGGTGGGAGTCTAGTGGGTGCCCCCTAGAATCCCTTACTTAATTCTCGGCCTTCTCAAGAGCTGACAAAATCGTTTGCCAGTTGAATGCACTGGAGTGGCTTCAGCCAAGCTAAACCAGCAGACACTGCAGAACTAGTCCCGCGTCTTTTATTACCTCCTAATTCCAAATTTCTTGTCATTGTCTGACAGATTAAAACTCATTTTTGGCTGGATGAACTTAAAAGATCTGGGATCACTTTACTTGCAGGTTATTTCTTGTTCTTAATAAATAAAGAAGCTCTAAATTTAGTTCAGATTTATGATGTACATAAAACATTAAGTTATTGCATATGAAGTTATATAACGCTACCACCTGTAACATATTTGCTTTTTTCCGGTCTCTGTGCATTTTAAAAATCTTTGCTTCAACTCATAAAATGTTGCTAAGTTATACCTTCGACTCCTTTTGTCCCTTCTGTACTTCGCATTAGAAGAAGTCCAGAGTGCATTTGCTAAGTAAGGGACATCCTGTTCTGATACATTTATGCATCTGCCTTTTATATATACACATACACACACACATACAATAAATATAGTGATGGAAGAGCAGGATTTTCCTTAAAGAATAGCTTTGAAGGAACATACTACTTCAAGGACCAGTGCTACTGCTGGTAGAAAAAAAAATCAGCAATAACAACAAAAATCTTGTGTTTCATTATGTAATATAAAATTCAGGGTAAAACAGTGACTTCACTAGTAGCAGATGTGGCATAAATCAGCATAAATTCGTTGTAGATGGAGGAGCTGTGTCAGTTTACATCAGTTAAGATTCTGGCCTGTGGTTTTTAAGTGAAACATTTGAGCAAATGATTTCTTAAATTAAGACTCACCTCAGGCTAATTTGCTTTCCATCTAATTAATGCTGCTTTTATATGGCATTTATGTGCTTGCCAAATATTAAGAAAAGGAAATCTGCTATAACAAATATAAAGAAAAATGATACTGCTATAGGATGATTCGTGCCTGGGTTATAGCAATTCTAACCATAATTACAATCATAAAGAAATGTTGATAAAGGGAGATCTAGTTTATAGAGCTATAGCAGTTCAATTCAGAGGTGCTTTAATCTTCCAGACCAACAGCTATCATGTTGCTATCGTGGTTGAAAATAAGGCTTAAAGAGGTAGATCTCTAGTTAGTGTACTAAGTACTGTCCCTTCTGCTGTTCCATGTTGTCTGGATTTCCCATCCCTTTGGCTACCTTGTGTGAAAACTCTCTGCATGAAATCAGGCTTTTCACACATGTACAGTTTACCTCCACTTGTCAAAAAGAATAAATCTTGGCATAGTTAGAGCCTTCCTAGCATTTTGAAGGTATATCGTTTCATACACAGTTATATGTAGCTATATATAGGATAGATTTTTTTTTCCAAGTCATAATTCATTATGTCCCTGTTTGTGAATGAGAGCTCCCAGTGACCCACAGGCAGGATTTACCAGAAGGAGAAGAGTAGGAGGGGAGAGGAAGCATGATGGCCCTTTGCCCTAGGACTTCCTTGGTATTTGTGCTGGTAACATAGGACAAACATTTCTGTATGGAAATTCAGATGCCTTCTTGGAAGCCTTGTATAT